ATTACAAGACGCAGCATTCTAAAATTGAAATCATACCGAACATATCGTACACATTGTACCTCACCTAAGCAGACAGCAGTTAAAAACAACATATGCATAAGCATGACTAATATTCTTTCCAAGAAGGTCATAAACCTGCATTTTGTTCAAGCTTTCAAATCTCAAGGCCATAGAAGGTCTCCACAATCTATCACACTCTATATTTTCATGCATAAAAGTTGCCACTGAGCAAATTCATCATCACTTCTATCCCAACAATTTTTTTAACCCTAAACCCATTTCCAATTGCTAAATGCAGCTGCTCAAAAAAATCAAAAGTTCCCACGTTATCACAGAGATATAAAACAAAAAAAACAACAAAAAAAACCCAAAAGGTGCAAACTTTATAATAAACTGACTGAATGGCAGCAAGAACATGAAGCGTGTCTAACACAATAACATAAATCACCATCGCAAGGCTCAAGGTATCATTTCCTACTGCAGTGTTACATACAGGAGGGCAGAAAAGGGTATGTGAGGAGCGAGCAAGCGGCTGCATGGTACTTTGTTGCCGGCTGGGGTTAAACCACAACAGCCCCTATTTCTTGAAATCCACTCAGGGAAATTGGCATGCTTCTGTGGCCTGCCTCTCACAGAACGAAGGGTGCTGCGACTCAGATCGCTGTTAGTCAATTTTTTTGTCTTTACCTTTATTTATGTTTTTGTAAACTTCAGTTTGGCAGTGAGAAATCCTGACAGTCACTTGTAGGTACAAGTGCAACACAGTTGTAGAGTTACCGCAGCACGGCATACACCAATTCTGTTGAATGGGGAATTTTACTTACTGAAACATACACAGAGAGATACTTCGTTTTGCATTTGAGAAAGCATAAATTCTAAGCCATTTACACCAATATTTTTTCAATACTTGTGTTTCTGTTGCTTCAGACCACTAGTTTTCCTGAACACAAATGGGAAAAGGGTTATTTGTAAAATACTGGTCTCCAAACAATGTATCAATAACATAAGCAGCAATTCCCAATTTGTCCTACTGCATTACTTCCTCCTCCTCCACTACAAGCAGCAGTAAAACATAGCTACGAATACATTTTCAACACCCCCAGCATGACTCTTCCCTTTAAGCCATTCCCATTGCCACACAGACATGCCTCACAGCACACAAGCAGGATGGAAAGACATGGTGAGTCACACCATTAGAAGAAGAGAATCTCTATCAAGCCTGTTGTGTGGGATGGAGAAGGTCACTTATGCTACCAACAGGAGTTTTTCCACCATCGTGAGCTAATGTAACTTGCATTATACAGAGCAAAAATACACAGTCAGTGTCCTTTTTTTGGGATACTCCTAGGTAACAGAGCAACTCAGAGTTGCATCGCATTTGCATATTTTGGGATGCATTAGACACAATTAGCTCTGCATGCAGGTGGCTCAGACATGACACCAGTCTTATCTGGGGAGATAAGACACATCCTGTAGTCAGTCCAGGCTGAGCAGCACACAGGATAGCAAGCTCCTTCAGCCCTCCCTTTCCACAGCCCAGGGACACAGTCCGTCTGCAGGCCACACAAATCCAGAAGGCTCCAGCCCAGGCTGGTACCCCCAAGCCGATCCACGCTCAGCCATTGTGATGCCTCCGTATCACACCTGAAGCCCATCAGGTGTTCAGCCTGACTGGGCACAGAACTGGCTGGGGTTCAGCACGGCTTTTTAGGTCTGACTCCAAACCGCAGCAATACAATGGTATGGGACTTTCAGACCCATGCTGGCTCTGACAGCAGGGAAGAGATCTGCCTTTCTGGGTATCTGCAATTTAACTAATGACCCTGCTGAGCTACAGACAGCTTGTGCCTTCCTATCCACATATACAATATACTTACCTGCAAACTAGATAAGCCACCTATCCACAGAGGATTTGCTGTACATCAATGACCCTGATAATTACAGTTTATTTATGGCATGTTTATTACATGTAGAAAGGCAAAGAGCCACAGCAAATCCAAACTGCCATTACTTCAGCATTATTACGCACGCAGTTACGCTGCAGAAAATTAAATTTTACCACAATATAAAGATGTGCTTCTTAATAAAACGTCAAGCAATCATATGAATTACAATAAAGCATATTCCACGTAGCAGCCCCTTCTCACAGCAATTAGCTATGGAGTATCCTTTAATTGTTCACTTTGAAACACGGTTTCCCCTGTTTTTTTCCAAAGAAGAAAAAGAAAGCAATTAAAATCTTTAATGAGTGCCTGCTGCCTGCCCTCTAATTCATGGGCATTCTAATGTTCAACGTGTGTCTTTTCATAATAGACATAATTGCCAGATCCACTGCAACCCATCTATACAGAATGGCAGCATGTTTTACACAGTGTACTGTAATAATGTAATTGGTGTGATTCAATACTAGCATTAAGAGAGAAAAACAAATGCTATGTGTGTAAGACGGACAACAAGCTTTTGGAATCATGCAACTGACGCCTCTACTCTAAGAGCTGGGAAATATTTAGCCCATATCCTTTGGGTCTCCATTCTGGCTGCTTTGCCAGAATGCCAACAAAATGAATGAATTCTTCACAATGGCAAAGACCCATTCACATGGAAGAGGCTACAGACTTTTCACATAAGTTACTGATGATCTCTACATAGCACTTGAAAGCTCCCCTCACTAACATACAAAACGAAAATATTCAGGGCTGACTGCAAAGCCACTGTGAAAATGGGAAGCAGGTGGAACAAGGAGGAAATATCATACCCCAGCCACTCCCAAAACTCCTGACAGAGATACCACAACTTGCTCCACTTCAGACCAGAAGCACAACGAATGAAAATTTACTGCCTTGTGAACTGTGTGGCATCTGTCTCATTTCTGGTAAGCAACAGATGACACGTTACTGGTACCCCATTC